CCCTCCCCCCTCCCGCCCGCCCGCCCGCCGCCGCTCCCGCGCCTCCATTCGGCTCCGCCGCCGCCCGCCGAGGAGGGGACAGCGACAGCCGGGAGCACGGGAGAGGGACGGACTCTCCCCCGCCGCCAACCCGCTTCCTCCTCCTTCTCCTCCACCTCCTCCCCCGCCTCCGCCTCCGCCTCCCGGCCGGGAAGAGCTCGCCGTGCCCGCTGCAGCCCCGCTGGATGCACTGAGCGCTCGGGCGCGGGGAGAGAGGGGCAGGAGGGAGCCGGGAGCCCCGCCGCGGAGGCGCTGCGCTACCCGGAGCCTCACGGCCATTTGCTTTAATTCTTTTATTGCCCCCCCGGCCGCCTCCTCCTCTCTGCCCGCGGGAGCCAGCCGAGGCGGCGGGGGCTGCATCCCCCCTCCCCCCCCTTTTTTTTTTTTTTTAATTTTTTTTTTTTAAATTTTCATCGCCGCCATGGGATGTACCCTGAGTGCTGAGGAAAGAGCCGCCCTGGAGCGGAGCAAGGCCATCGAGAAGAACCTGAAGGAAGACGGGATCAGCGCGGCCAAAGATGTGAAACTCCTCCTGCTCGGTGAGAACCCGCCGGTCGCCCCCCCATCGCCCCCCTCCTCCTCCTCCTTTTCCCCCGCGCTTATCCCACCTGATCTCTCTTCCAACAGGAGCCGGAGAGTCGGGAAAAAGCACCATCGTGAAGCAAATGAAGTAAGTCCCGCGGGGGGAGCGAGTGAGCGGCGGTGCGGAGCGGGAGAGCGGGGCGGGGGCTCGCGGAGGTGAGCGAGGGCCGCGGGCGCCATGTTTACCTGAGGGGACCGCGCAGGCACAGCGCGGCGGGGCCGCCGCCGCTCCCGGCGCTGTCCAGGGCCCGCTGGTGCTGAAGCGTCTCCCCGCGGCCTCGCCCCCGGCGGCGGTGAAGTGAGGCCGGCAGCCCACCTTCCCCCTCCGCGCAGATGTCCCCGTGAAGCGAACCGCTGTCAGTTAAGCTTAATGTCGAGGTGTTATCTGCCGGCTCTGCGGATTTAAACCAAGGCTCCCTATCACTGAAAGCCCCTTTTATTGAGCTTGTACCTTCTCCTTTTAATTAATGAACGACGAGCTTGGCCACTCATCTCATTCAAACCTCTGCTGCTCTGGGATCCGGGTCTCCCTATGGTACTAGGCGCTGCTCCTCGCTGGGGCTTTCCACACCCTCTTCCTGTGTTTAATTAGATGAAACCGTGTAATAAACAGCAGTGAAAAGCCCCTCTTTTCAAAGGTCTCTTCCAAGCATCCCCGTGGCTCGTGTAAATGCACCCCGTAGGAAAGCAGGTGCAGGGAAGGCTAATAGGGGTGGAGGTATACCCGTGGTGCGACTATTCTGCCCCCACCCATTTTTTATGTTTTTTAATTAAAATACAATGAAATACCCCGTCCTCCCACCGCTACAAACATGACGGGCTGGATGGAGGCGGGCGCCATCACGGAACGAGCCTGGGCGCTGGTTCAGGGTCTGGATTTCAGCTGGGAGCAGTTGCCGCTTTGCGATGCTGGTGCTTGCAGAGGGATCCGTGGCTGGGAGGGGCCCCCCCCCGGGACCGGGATTGCTCAGCGAGGGGAAGAGCCTTAAAGATGGGTGTGAATGGGACGCGGGGAGCGGCGTGCGGGTCCCGGCGCTGGGATCCGGAGCTGCGCGGGCCGACGGGCGGGTCCCGGCGCGGCGTTCAGGCGGTTCGCGCTGGACAGCGCCCGGCGGGGGCTCGAACCTGCGGCACCGGGGCCCCTCCGGCACCGCGCGGCTCCTCCCGGCAGCGGCCGCGCCGCGCTCGGCTGCCTCCGGAGGGGCTGGGGAGAAGCCTCAGGGGCTCTGGAATAACCAAAGGGGCCCGCGCCCCTCGCAGGCTGCTGCCCTGAGCTCCCGTAGCCGCCCCGGGTGTGGTGCGAGCGTGCGTGCGTGTGAATGTGCGAGTGTGAGTGTGCGTGTGTGTGAGTGTGTGTTTATGTGAGTGTGTGTGTGTGAATGTGCGTGTGCATGTGCGTGCACCACGGGGGCAGATCTGGGCCTTCAGCCCAGCTCTCCGGCAGGCAGGGTGGCTTGGCGGGTGACCCGGATATTTCTGTATCAACTACGTGGCCGTTGTGCCCACCCCTCGGGGGTTCAATGAAACCATCATCCCTGCCTGAGGCAGTGCTTTTCCCAAGGCGTTACGGGGCTGGGAGGTCTCACTGTCAGGAGACAGTGGTGTCCGTGGCTTTCCCCACTGACGTTTGTATACCCTGGTTCTGTAAAGGCTCTGATTATTCCTGTTCACTGTTTGAAAGGGGGCTTTCCACCCTTTCACCCCCACAGTTTGATTTGGGTCTGGAGTGGGGTGGGTTTGGTTTGCTCTTGTTTGTGTGCAAAAGGTGGATCAGGAGACATGTCGCTGCAGATGAACACCAATAAATTATTTAATCTCTAGGAATTGCTTTTGCAGAAGCATGCTGGAATGGCGGGCGATGGGTTTTGGTTGAAGGGAGAGGCTGTAGTAACTACAACAGTGGAGTGCACACGTAGAGCCCATAGGCAGGGGGGAAGGCAGTGACCACACTGGCTACACAATAAGCTTACAATCACTCTTGTTTTCCAAAGAGCAGAGCTCTTGTTTTTTGAAGCAAATCACATCAACATAATAACCTGTTTGCTGGACTAGATGGGTATATTGAGGACTGAAATATACCTATTTTGTATATATATATATATATGTGTGTGTGTATATACGTATATATGTACACACACACATTTCATTAGAAGGACTATAGCAAGGCATGCTAGACTTGCAGCTTTGTACCTGATATGACAATGTCAAGGAAGCTGCTATGGTGGATAGACTTGTAGTGTTGGAAATTGGGAGGCATCCGTGAGTGTGGAAACTCCAGTGAAGTGTGCGGAGGCTGGGGTGGGGACAGCGGTGTTGCTATGAGCACGGCAGCAGCATCTGGAGAGAGCCACACAGCCGCGGGCACCAGGGAGAGCAATGTGCAGAGAACAACGCGGGGAAACTAACATTGCTGAAAATTAATTTAAATATAATGTAGGCATTAGCATTTCACCTGGTCAAGCTCCATTAGACAGGCTTGCTGAGAACCTAATGAATTCTTAATAAAGATTAAATCGCATGTTCATTAGATTTTGATGAAAGAGACTGCTTTTTTTTTTAATATGGTATTATTGGTGTGCTTCTAGATAATAAATCTCATTCTCATGAATGGCTAAAGCAGCTTCACACTTGGATATTGCCTTGAAAACAAGCACAGGAATCTATAGACAGATTGGAGAATGCTAAGACAAAGGAACAGAGAGCAGACTGTTACATAGGACTAGAAGAGGTTACACACTGCCCAGTTAATCCTTGAAATGTTAGGCAGCAGGAGAAGTATAAATTACAGTAATTTGAGAGTGTAGCCAGGATGGAGATAAGTATTTGTAAATTTAATTCAGGATTTTTTAGTAAAATATATGGAAATACCTTTTAGCTGGTGAGTGGGGGTTATCAAGCAAAAAAAATACTGGTGGATGACAGGTGGAACAGGAGTCTGGAATATACATCTCAAACAGTGGCAGCACAGGCTAGGAATGACACTTTTGTTAGCACCCATGGTTGTTTTCACACCCTTAAGCCTTGCACTTTGACTACTTTACCTTGGTTGATTAATTTTGCTGTATTTTTTCACAACCAGTCCTGCAATCCCAATACTTTTACCCATGATTCAAAATGAATGGTCAGAGCCAAGCTAGTCAGAGGAACAGTCCTGAAAGGCATGGTTTTGCCATGCAAGCCAATGAGACTCCAGAGTGTGCCACAGCATTCAGAATCAGGCTGTGACCAGATTCTGTTTCACTCAGCTTAATCTAAAAACCAACTGTAACCAAGCAAAGCTGGGGCTTTCCTTTAAAATCCATGCTAGAAGGTGAGAGTTACCAGACAAGAGGAATTCATCTTCCATTCACACCAGCCTAACAGTAAATTCATGATGTAGGAGTGCAATGGGTGTTAACATTTTTTAGATCTTATATATTCAAATAAATGTCAAACACATGCAGAATTTGGAACTTACAATCTTCTTTTCTGTAATTGAGACTGATTTATTCTAGGATATTTTTGTGGGGACTTAAAACTCTGGTGAATGTGCTTGTTCATCAAAAGCCCCAGTGGAGCAGGACACCGAGCATATCTCCATCCCTCACTGCTTAGCAGGACATTTAAATCCATGCAACGGTCCAGTGGTGAGCAGGGTTGGACTGCTTGGGTGGGGACACCATCCGCTGCCATCAGCACAAGGCTTCCAGGGAATTCAGTGTTTAATCATGCTTACACAGAGAGGCTGAGTTAGCTGGCATGGCTTCAAAAACAAGGTCCTGCCCCCTGCTCAGCAGCCACCATTCTGGATGGTGAGCCAGGGCAATATTTCACCTTCCCAAACGAGATGTTAGCAATAGGTTTGGCATTCCAGAGGAATGCCCACAGGAAAAATCTTGGGGCTTGGGATATGGTTTTGGATTTTGCTTTTGCAGAAGCAACAGCTTCCGTCCCCTGCTGAGCTGGGTGCAGAGAACTGGGTCCAGCTCCTTTTCACAAGATGCCGGAGCTTCCAACCCTGTCCTCCAGAGCAGCTGTGTGCTACTTCACCAGAAGTGCTGGTAGTAACTCAGTTGATAGGCTTCTCTGCTGTGCCAGTTTTCACAAAATGTTTTTATGTTAAATATGAGAAGGATGGAAATATACAATCAGGAGAAAAATACACTAGTGTACAGTGCTCATCTTGAAATATCTACTATCTTCTCCCCAACAGCCATCAGTCCCAACAGCCGGCTGATATATTGTTCTGACCTTTTTCAAAAAGCCCCTCAAAACAGCCCCAGGTTCTATTTGCTCTCTCTATAACCAAATTACTTATAATCTAATGAACTTCTTCAGTGAGAAGCAGTCCCCGCCCACTGGTTTTACAGCAATTTGATGCCAAATGCCTTTGAAATGAAATGTGTTGTGAACACCCACTTGAGTGCTCTTTGCTGCATGTCTGTGTCTGAAATCCATAGTGATTTCACACTTGCAGCCCCTTCCCCCAGGAATACTTCACCCCACAGGGGCTAACAGTGCAGAGTTGCTTCGCCTCTGCAGCATCTTCCCAGGGACAGGGCTGCAAACTTCATCTTCATGGTCTGTCCCACTCCCCAGCACAGTTCTGCCCTGTGGCACTGGGTGCAGAGCCCCACTCAGCTCTACTTCCACCTGGGAACTGTTTGAGTGTGGTGTGAGCTGGTAACCCAGAGGCACGAACCTCACTAGAGCACCAGGTCAGGCCGAGCCATCCCCATCCTTACTTGTCTCCTGCTATTTTCCAGGAAATCTGTGATCTAAAGCCCAAAGTAGGGCAGTGACAGGCTGCACCTGAGCAGCATTTGAACTGGGTTTTAATAAGCAGGGGAAAGAGCTGCAGCCTTCCCCGTGAAGTTGTGTCATTCTCCCAGGAACTGCCCTGGTGCACTTTGCCCTGGGTGTGGATTTGGCCCCGTGCACGTGGCACGCAGATCCCAGCAGAAAGGCGGCCCTGGTGGGGCTGTTTTGGCACTGGAACCTGCTGGGGCAGCTCTGTGGTGTTGGGATGGCAGCTGAGCAGTGCATTACCTGCCCTGAGCAAGGCAGGGTCTCCTGCTAGGGTGTCAGAGATTATCCTAGTGGAGGCTG